ATTTTTTTAAAAAGGTTTTTAAGAAGAATACAATTAACGCGGCATTAATGATCAAACACTCTCAAAAACGTTTCAAAAAATATCTTAAAATAATTAAGTTTAACGATGTCCTGTCTGGATGGGAAATCACGGTAAAAGTCTCAAAAAGAAGGAGACAAACAAACCTATTTTCATACACTTCAAGGATTTAGGATGGACAACGCATTGAAACTTGGCGTTTGATTCAATTGTCTTTTAATAAAGAACTAAAAGCTATGTGGTTTGTGACCGCGTTTAGGTCACCTATTCTAATCATACCAATATCTGAATACATCCTCAGTTTGATCAGTGGAGAATATAGATCTTGAGCTCCCAAAATTTGCAGCTGAAGTCAAGGAAACAATGGTTTCAGGTCGAGGTTCAATATTACATTATATACAGTAAACGTGTGAAACGTGTACTCAAACCTCGACTTGAATCCATTGTTTTTTCTTGGTCATTCAAGTTTTGCGTATTCAGGCCACGTGTCATTCCCTTGAATATCATTTCTTTGTTTGGATGCACGTGAAACAAAGAATCCTAATTTCAAAATTTTCACATTATGGTCTGAAATGGACAACAACAACAACAAACAAAACAACGCCAAAACAAATCAAAAAACGCGGTATATTCTTAATGGAAAGCGTTATTGAACCCCATTTTATTGTGTTTTGTTTACCCACTTTGGACTTTGCATGCTCTCAGGAGTGTTCAAAATTTATATTCCCTAGGGGATGGTAGATGGTAGACAGGGACTTGAAGTTCTCAATTTAGTACTTTGAGAAGTATACACCTAATTGAAAAAACGTAGTCGGGTTCGAGAAGGTCATATCATCGAAGCTAAGACGGAAAAGGATTTTGGGTATAGACATGTAAAAATGCACAGTAGAGCAAAGTCGGTCGACCTAGATTAACAACATGCCAAAGCCATGATGCATAAAATGTGCACAGGAAGGGAAAACTGCAATAACCATGAAATTAGCACAATTGTTTGTCTTCCCATGCTCCCCTTCGGTCTTAGCTTTGATGATATAACCTTTTTTTGAACCCGATGTTTTTTCAATTAGGTGTAGCTCAATTATTTCATGTGGGAGAGATCCAAAAATGAATGAAAGACCAGACGAACGAACGAACGAGAAAATGGAAGGATGAATGAGTAAGCAATCCTCGCTTAATCAATTATCCAAGGAAAGGAAAATAATTTAGAAATAAGATTTAATTTGAAGCCCTACTCATTTGAAGGAAATCAGGGGGAAAAACCTCGAGTCTTATTTTCGGCGAGAAGACGAGGTTATTTTTGTACGATCGAAATACTTCCAAGTGCTTCGATGTTCACTATGTTAGACAGCAAGGGCCTCTCATTGATTCAAACGAATAGACAAGCCTCGCTTTATGTTAATATTTTCGATTAAGCGTCTCATTTATCAAATAGATCAAAGAAGCAACACCGACACGGTCTTCCAATACGCATTATCTGCGGTGCTAACTATATTTATCAACAACAGAACGTTAATCAATGTGCTATGATATTGAGCTTATACTTTAGCTTACGCGTTATATATTAGTTGCTAGGAGTCAAACCAAAACATCTGAGCATACGTAAACCAATGTTCAGTGCAGTGATAGATGCTATTATTGTATAGGAATCTTTTAAAATGTAAAATACATTCCTCGGGTACAGCCCACGTTTTTAGTCTTCGTCAACTGAACTGAGACTTTGATCAATGAAATACAAGAGTGTTGTAACCATCTTTCGTTCAGTGGTTATGGTTTTATTTTGGCTCTTCGCTCCGGCCCGTTTTGGCCTTTTGGAGAATGTTCATTAAAGATACTGAGCATGCGCTGTTTAAATTTAAGTTTATACCCAAAATGTCCATATCAAAGTGACGGGAACTACTGATAAATGTGGAAGACTTATTGTTACCAAAAGTTGCTGCAAATAATTTTATTTCCCTCCACTTTTATGAGAAAACTTTTGCATATTTAAAAAACATGTAAAGGTTTTCTTATTACTAAAAGTGCGGGAAATAATGAAATGTGGAAAAGACTTATTTTCAGAGCAAAAGTTGCAGCAAATAATTCAAACATGGGAAAGTCTTATTGTTAAAGTGGCGGGTAATAATGAATATTAAGAAGTCTTATTTTCAATCAAAAAGTGAAAAACAACTGATCTTCTGTAGTAAAGCTTTCGAGCATGCGCAAATCAGTTTCAAGTTGGAAGACTTTCAGGAAACGGTTATGGGTGATAAATGAAATCATTTCTAATGAAACATAAGAAATTCAAGCATCTCCCGCCTCTGAGAGGAAATACTTAGGTAATTCCCTCTTCAACGCTAAGCCCTAGTGTCAAAATTCACGTACTAATATCCAGTAAGTTTGATTTTTTGACTCGTAGATTGAACAAGCAAAGTGTAGTGTCATGCATTCGTGTGGTTAATTTGTTAGGTTTGTCGACAAATGGAATGAAGAAAGCTTGACGAAATTCAAGATATAAAAAGCACTCTTGTGAAGAGATGTCAGCTTGAACCAAAGATTTATTATCGCGGTACGATTTAATAGTATTGAAAGCAAAGGAGAAATTATGTTTAAATTGAAAATAAATGTCATGAAAGGCGGGGCGAAAAGAATTGCGAATACTGACTAATTAGTGCGAGGTATACCTCTCTGGGAAAATACAAGCGAGCGAAATTTGAACTATTGTTATTAGAATATATAATTTATTTTTGTAGAAAAGAAATGAGTTTTTTAAATCATAGTTTTTATCATGTATCTTTGATAAAAACCTTGTTGAATTTCTTTTTGGCGAAAACAAATAGATTGTTTCTTGAACACAAAAAGCCACTTAAATGTCGGCAAGCGCTAGTTTGAAAACCTCAAACGAAAACATTCATCTGTGAGATTTTCTCTCGGAATTTCCACCAGATAAATTACACAACGAATAAAATGTAACCTGACATTTGAGCTGGAGACAACAAGCTTATGAGCTCTTGATATAATATAATCTCAGTATAGAGGAAAAGTGATTCACGCTCAAAGGCGTTTACAAGACGTTTAAGGCACGATTCAGGTTTTGGTTGGAAAGTCGACTGGAAGACCTTATGGAAACAGGATTGCGGTTATTCATTGCATATGACGAAATTTTTAGATCAGATTTTCGTTTGGAAAATAGACATCTCGCTCGTGTAAACTCAAAAACTTGAAAGTAAGCGTTAATTTTAAAAGAAATCCTTTACAAAAACCTCTCTATAACCAACACAGAATCCATGAAAATGCAAACTGAAAAAACGTTGCTCATGCCTGCGGTGACTGGGAGAGCTCTAACCAAACAATTCTTGATTGCTGTCACCTTTTTGGAATCTCCTTTTAGTCTCGTATATGGTAAAGTGTACAACAGTGGAGTATGACGTTTGAAAGAAAGAAGGAAAACCTTTCTTAAAGTGGTCTCACTGGGCGGTCAAAATATCATGATTCCTTTAAGGAGTGTAATATTATTTTAATAGCCAAACAGAGCAGCCATGGCATGAACCAAAGTGACTGTCTTGAAGGCGCGCGTTGAATTAGATTAATAGCTTTTTTGGATGAAATAAAATCTTGAAACAAATTACGAAGCCATTGGTTTGCACGCTAGTGAAAGACTAAACGAGGTAGCGAGGTTACTACGGAAATAAGGTTCATATATTGTTGCTACGATCGATTAGAACTAATAAAAGGGTTGATTTTCTTGTAAATAGATTGAAAAGTAGCTCGTCTTACCTGAGTAAAGAGAAGAAAAAGCGAAAACCTTTGATGTACGAGACAACACCAGCATGTGAACTTCGATTAGTGTTGCCAAAAGCTTAACTAAAGTAGGATTATGGGAGATTAATCCTTATCTGACAAAGATTTCTATCTTCTGTCACTTTAAACACCAAATTATTACGGATCAATTGTCACTAGATAGAGGCCTGCGTTGAGGTTTACATTCAGTCAAATACACTACATTTTTCACTTTTAGCTTTTGTTAAAAAAAGCAGGCTAAAGTGCTGCAGAGTTTCTCTCAGACGCTTTTAGTTGGCAGGAGGAAAATAAGTGAAAGGCAAATCGAAAATACCAGCCATTAAAACTCAATAGTCTCACAGCATGTTCAATCTATTGCAGTGCTTTGGCGGCGTACTGTCGAGGACTTGACAAAAGAACGACCGTTTTCTTTTCGCTGGGCTTATATCTAAAAATATTATGATTTCAATGTCCTGCAATATGATTCTGTTTATATCAAACTATACAAAACGAGAGGTTATTTTCTCTGATGAGGAATTTTAAATTGAAAATGACTGAAAGAGAGCCGCCGAATATAGCGATGAGAACGAAGTTGAAAGTTAGAAAATTTTCTTAGTAAGTAAGCGCCGGATAACCTATATTAAAAAAACCAGATTAGTTAGTTTATGAAGAGTAGAAAACGGCCGCAGACAAGGGAATTTTYCCCCCGCAAAAACGACGTAAAGGCGGTTATATTTGTGTACAGTAAAGAAAGGAATTTCTCGTTAGCTTCCAAATTGTTATGTACAACAACATGACCACCATGACGTCACATGAAAGCCATCGGTGTACGTTTTGACCACTAACTGCCTCCAACTATTTAGTGCGAAGATTCTTATAGATTCTTCCCTATAAATATTTACATAAATTATTTTAAAAATCATATATTGTTTGGCAACAAAACAAACCAACATTAAGATATCTTAATGCAACTCAAAACGGAGGCATATTGACATATTTAGTTGCTTGAATACATTTAGTTCAAGCTTGAAATGCGAGGTATTTTTCTTTAGGTTATCGGGAAAAAATCAATATAGTATTGTTTTGACGACATCGTCACAAAAAAGCAAGACTAAGGAAGTATAATGTTATCATAATATTTGTGAATACACCATTAAATGACTGCAATTAGTGATAATTGAGAAGATATATAGTTTATTGTTTATATTAAAGTTTATTGAGTTAAAAATACTTCATAGTTAATCATAATCAATATTATAGAAACTATATAATTACAATTTGATTGTCCTAGATGAAATTACGAAAGCAATTTTCGAAGGAACAAAATATGGCCTTAATTGCACTAAAATAGCAATTACTCATAATTTTATTCGGAAAAAAACCATACTTTTTGGAAATTTGAATTATAGCATCATTTACTACCATTACCATAAACACTACCATTTACTTGGACACTTTCTTTTGTTGTTAATTACAGTGGCAGATCCAGGGGAGGGGTGCGCACCCTCCCTGGTTCAACTCTGTGCCCCTGAACAAATTCTTGGATCCGCCCCTGAATTAGCACCATTACTGTTGTAGCCACTACTCCGCAGTTTTAAGTTCTGTTACTCAGTTAGCCTCGACTTTGGCAAGAATATTCATGTGTTTCACTGAAGGTCCGTGTAATATCAAAGTGTTTTTATTGTTCAAGTTGTCCATTCTTTACTTAACCGTTGGTATTGGACACCGCAGCAAGACTAACCCTGTATGAGTCTGTGATTAAGAACGAATACAGCAGCATTTGATTAATTTGAAAACGATTTATTTAGTTGTCTTACCATAGTCTCATTGGGAACAAAAATCTGAAGGAAGAAAATTCGCGAAGCATTCCGGTAGTGGTAGTAAAATGATGCCATTATACAAACTTCCGCTATCCGTCAAACACTGAATTTTTAATATTTTTACACATTTAATGTTAATTTTGATTAGAGTAGTACTTTTAAAGTTATATTTGAGTATTTGTATAACCCCGGTAAGTTTGAACCAGAGAACCAGTTCAAGATCAGTTTCCGAGTAAGGAGAATTGTTGGGCTGCAAATGGTAACAATTGCAACCGAAAAGAAAACTTACAAAAACAAAATGCCATGTCAATGGCAGTTGTATAATCATAATTTTGGAATCTTACAGGATGCTAGCTGCATCCATGTCAAACACAACTTTACTTCCCCAAGGAAGCTAAATTAGCACATTTGTGCAGGAAGTTCTAACATACACTGTATATTGACGCAGTATACCCAGACATATGACGCCTCCTTACTGTGACAGTGAGGGCAAGGTATTGCACAAGTATAAATATGGCTACACGTGTACGTTTTCAAGTATATCTTTGGAAATATTTATTTTGAAATCGAAATGGACTATTATTAAAGAGTCTCACATAGGTCCATAGAGAACCCAGAGACTATCTACAGAGCATGCGCTGTAAGTAAAGTTCGACTTTTCATTGACCGTTTTTGATATTCTAAATATATGATCACCTCACAGCCTCAACTACGCTTTATCAATGYTTGCACAAAAGGTAAATATAATTTACGCGGGAATACAAACCCACGCCTGTCACACATGGCGCATGCGCAGACACAGCAGTGAATGTTATTAGCCCAATTCTTGTTACGGAGATAACAATATAAAAATGACCGGCTAAACAAAGAAATAATGAATTGCACGATTAATGGAATAAACTTGTTCATACCAAAATTATTAATGAATTTAAAATAAAGAAAAAAGAAAGAAAGAAAGAAAAGAAAGAAAGAAAAGAAACTATAAGAATATAATACCATGAATATCAACTATACTAGTGTAATATATTCCTGGGCAAGTTAAACTTTGCTTCTATTAAACGAGAAACAAACCCGGCCTTCTTGAGCCACACAGGGTTCCCAGCTATGAAAGTAGCATGGACTGTAAGGCTGTCATCGAGTAGAATCAAGTCTGCATCAGCTCCAGGGTTGGTCGTTCCCTTTTGGTCTTGTATTCCAAGAACTTGCGCGGGGTGGAGTGTTGCCGCTTCTAAGGCTTCTACAACACTGCAACCTGTACACAAAAGGCCTAATTTATATCCATTGAACGCGATCACGAAGGATAGCCCGTCTGAACACAGCTCAATAAGCCTTTTCATAGTTTAAGAATCGATTCCACTGCGCATGCGATTTTATCCCGAATTTCTCACCTTCTATTGTCTAAACCTTCTTTTGTTCTTAATTAAACAAAAGAAGGTGAGAAATTCGGGATAAAATCGCAGGCGCAGTGGAATCGATTCTTAAACTATGAAAAGGCTTATAGACCCGTTTCGAATTCCAAATTACCGCTGTGTTTCTTGATTACTGACTCATTTGCACAGGGTTAGCCTCGAGTTTGTGCAGAATATACGTGTTCCAGTCAAGGTTCGTCGAGTTTCAAAGTGTTTGTATTGTTGAAGTTATGCATTCTTTACTTTACCGTTGGTATTTGTGAATATTTAAACACTGATACGAGGCTAACCCTGTGGAAATGAGTCTGTAATCAAGGAACACAGCGGTAATTTGGAATTCGAAACTGGTCTATTTGGAGGACAAAACAATAGGTTTTTGATTCTCAGAGTTTGAAATTCTTTTATTTTTTGTCCTTCAAATTGAGCTCCTTTGACTTTACATGCAAGGGTCTATTTCAAGTGTTCTTCACGTGCACTATAGCACTAGAGTCTAGTATCACGTGACAAGATGTCGCTAGACTATGGTGCTCGTGTCATGTAATTGTTCAAATTGAGCCCCTTTGATTTTACATGCAAGGGTCTATTTCGAGTGTTTCACATGCACTATAAAACTAGACTCTAATGTCACGTGACAAGATGCCGCTAGACTATGGGGCTCGTGTCATGTGATTGTGCCCAGAAGGCTCTAAGCATTGAAATATGAGAGGTTTGGAGTAATTCTCTTGGTAAGCAAAGCCATGTCCGTAAACCAGACATTTGAAGTTAGTGTCTCGTGCTGAGCAGCCATGAGTTGGATTCTATTGTCACGTAACAATAGTGTAAATACATGGAAAAATCATGAAAAAAATCATTGTTCCTCACCTGACATTTTCCGAAATCTTTTGACGCATTCATCCATCGAGGCGACGCTGTATGTAAGCAGAAAGAAACTATCTATAAGAGGCTAAGGCCCAGACATGGGGAATATTTACCTCGCCACTCGAAGACTCATCACGAGGTACAAACCTGCCAGCAAGGGTGTTGGTACCAGCTATTGTAGCTTTCTCATTATGCATTTCAATGGTTTGCGGACCAAACTGATGCACGCCAGGTGGAAGACCAAGGGAGATGATAGCGTCTGTTATGAGAACTAAACCTAAAGTAACGACAATCACAATAGAATCGTTTAGAGGATTGAGTTACAGAAAAAACCTTCATTACAATAACATCCAATAACAACAGCAGCGGCAACAACAACAGCAGCAGCAGCAGCAACAACAAAAGCAGCAACCGGAGCAGCAACAGCAGCAGCAACAACAGTAACAACAACAGCAGCAGCAACCAGAGCAGCAACAACCAGAGGAGCAACAACTAGAGCAGCAACAACTTCAGCAGCAACAACTTCAGCAGCAACAATAACCGCTTGCAGCAGAAGCAACAAAATAATCATCATGAANAGCAGCAGCAACAACAAAAGCAGCAACCGGAGCAGCAACAACCAGAGCAGCAACAGCAGCAGCAACAACAGCAACAACAACAGCAGCAGCAACCAGAGCAGCAACAACCAGAGGAGCAACAACTAGAGCAGCAACAACTTCAGCAGCAACAATAACCGCTTGCAGCAGAAGCAACAAAATAATCATCATGAACAACAGCATCAATAACAAGAGCAGCAGGAACCAACAAAGATAGCCAACAACAGCAGTATTAACAATAACGGCAACAAGAGCAGGTAACATATATGCCTACCTTTTGGATGTGATCTGTGTGCTATTTTAGTAGCCGCAGGATGTGTATGGATACCATCAGCTATCAGACCATAGAATATTGGCACAGGAATCTCGGTACTGGTGAGCAGCCCGACAATACCAGGATCACGATGATGGAACTAAACAAAACAGCCTGGAATTAGACTCTTCATTGACGAACAGACATTGTACGTTTTGTACGTTTTTATTGGTTCAAAGTGGAAACCCATTTGAGTGCTATTTGATACTGCCAAAAAGCAGAAAAAAATCTTGGGTGGATTTTTTTGCCACAGCTGTTAAAATACGTTAAATTTCAAAAAAGGTTGGCGAACTGAGGCTTTGTTGCTTACCAAGGCTGAAATGTATTATAGATCATATGTAAATAAAGCCAGCAGAGGAAAAAATTATTATGTGGTGAAAAACATGCGACCTATGTTTATGAAAATACCACTGAAATTGCATTCGCATCACCTATAATACATTTTGAGCTATGCATGCAACATGAGACAAAACCTTCTCCAATCTTTTTGAAATAGATGTATTAAATCGTGACTACCGTGGGAAATGCGTTTTTCATACTACTGTTAATTGTACAATAGTTTTTCCTCGCTTATATTTGTGCGATAACATTTTTCTGTCTGATGTAAGCGAGTAACTAGGAACAAAACAACATTTGCCAACAATACTTAATACGGATTTGATTCCTTTATTTAAGAACATCACTTACCGCTAACATGGCGTTAAATAAATGCGTTATAAATGTAGCACCTTTCACTGCAGCACGTTCTGCTATGGTTAAGTCTGCTGTTGAATGCCCTGTAAATAGTAACAACAACATACTCTATGAAAAATTCATAATTACATTAATAAAAGTATCACACACAGTCTGAAAAAGGACTATACTACTGAGCAAGCAATCAAGTAGGCACGATCATAAAAGAGGGTCCTGAAGAGATGCCAATAGGCCCTTTGCAGCTCAGTAATCACGTGCTGCTTAATTCACTGAGAGCAAATGAATGAACATCTTGATTCCCATGGGTGAAGTATACTGGTGAGCAAACAAACTTTCTACAACCTGTTTTGAGAGATCGTAATGAAACTGCATTTCGTAACACACTGGTTACACATCTTTTCATTCAGTTCTTTACAAGTAGGTAAAAAGAATCACCAATTTAAAATGAAATAAAAAAGTTTGCGGACGTTGTTTAAGGTTTTGATAAAATAACTAAGACTTACCAACAGAGACAACAATCTTTCTCTTTGCCAGCTTTGTAATGATATCCATATCTCCAGCCACCTCTGGGGCAATAGTAATAATGCTAACGTCGTCCAACGAGCCGTAAAAGTTCTCCAGATCTTTAATGTTAATATTTTCTAGGTTTTTTATCAAGTGTTCTTTGTGAGCACCTCGTTTGTCCGGGTTGATGAATGGCCCTTCRACGTGAAGCCCTATTTCAAATGAAAGATTTGATAGGCTAGGGTACATAAAGACCTTACAAATGTATTACATTGCAATTACTGTTACCAGGCAACTTAGAACAGTCAGACAAGAGAATTATTTAAAATGTAGAATGAAAACAATGCATTCCAACTTTGGGTAGGAGAAAACCACTACCACAGGAAACCCATAAAAGGCAGGAAAGTGATTGGTGGGGGCCGTCAATCACTGGATCATGTGATCATCATTTACTTACCAAGAACTGTAGCTCCATGAGCTCCTCCTGGAGTCCTTCTGATACTTGGGAGAACCTTGAATTGTGAAAATAGAAATGTTTGTTATTATTCTATTTAAATATAATGTTCATTATGTATGTTAAAGTGCCTACTCAATATTTTCAGCATCGATGTAACATGAGGTGAATAGTTGAATGGTAAGATATTTTTACATGATTTGATTGATGCATCTTGGAGATATCAAGGTTTATATTTCCAATATGTTAATGAGTGTGATGTCATAGGAGGCGTTATTAAATATACAAAACTCTTCTGAGGCAGTGAAACATCCTGTATAGAATGTCATTGCCTTACTCGGGGTTAATAGAAAGGTTTGTTTCCTTATATCAATAAGTGTTTCAATTTACAAATGATGACAAATAAACTTAAATACATGTACCTCCCTTGACATCATTTTTATTCATGGAAATGTTTTTTATTCGTGGAAGTTAAAAACCCAAGATATCTAGAATTAACTGTCCAGAATATAAAAAAATAATAGAGCTCTACAATGGTGGTGGTAGTGTTAATGATGATGGTGATGAAATAAGTGCACATGCCATTGTCTTTCATATTATCATCCTCACTACATGTTTACAGTAGTTGGGGCTTTTCCACATTCTAGAAAAAACATTTTGAAAATATTAAAGAGTGCTTGCATCATTGTCCCTTTATCACCATCCTCAAATTTGTTTGTTTATTCTTAAAGTCCCTATTGACATCGAAGATGATGATTGTTATAACTATTATCCTTACTGTTATAATCAACAGGTGTAAACTTAAAGTTGAGCAGCAAACATAGGAGTTATGTTGTACCTTTTTGTAGAGACTTTCTTCAGATGTGATAACAGTTGGGCAGAATGATGTACAGCCATGTTGAAGCAGACCTTTAGCAACCTTCATAACACCTTCTTTCATAACATCTGAAGGCGTGGAAAAATCTACCCCAAAACCACCTGAATATTAAATGAAAAAAACCACAATAATAAACAACTTTATTATATTATAAACAGCATTATTGCAAGTTAAATTCCTTAGCAGTGATTTCAGGAAAACAGAAAGCCGATTTCATTTAGTGACGTTACCCCCTGAGGTGCTGTGGTTTGATTCCTGGACACAGAGTCACATGTGAGCATTGTTTTGTTTTGTCTCTCCCTTGATTCATGGATTGTTCTCCAGATTGTCCTCCCTCTGCAAAACCATACCAATTTTCTAATTCCAATTTGATTGATAAGTAATTTTTACACTCTTATGCCTTTACTACTCCTGTGTGGATGGCTTAATGCCTAACAGGTTTACTAACCCAATCAATAAGGCAGTAAAACAGATCAAATTAGAATTCAGAAGTCAACTTTTTTTGGAGGGAGGATAGACCAAAAAACCTGGAGGAAAAACTCTTGAAGCTGAGGAGAGATCCAAAAAAAAAAACTTTTGAGGGCTCAAACCTCATTCACATTGGTGAGAGGCAGCATATTAGCAGTGCATGCCACCTGTGCTTCAGATCAGCCCAGAGAATATTTCAACATTTGATCTGCCGAGTTAGTCATTCCCTGACTTTGATCAGAGCAATGGCTGCTTTAGGGCTTGATCTGTGAGTTAGTCATGTCCTGACTTAGATCAAAGCAAACATTTTTTCAGGGTTTGACAAAATTATTTTTGGGGGGTTTGTTTTGTTTGTTTATCTGATCATGAGCTAGAGATTCAATGAAAATAAATCTTACCATTGATCTGTACATCTATGAAGCCAGGSGCAAGGATGAGTCCTCCACAATCAATCTCAACATCAGCTTGCATCTTCTCATGCCAAAACACTTCTCTTGGATCAAGGATTTTACCACTCCTGATCCATAAGTCTTCTCTAATAAGAGCACCATCGCGCAACAGCCGGCAATTGAAGAACTTGTATAATTTAGACATGATGAAAGCACTGAAGATAAATGGGATTGTAATAATTATTAAAAATTATTATGGATTCCTTTCATATTCTTATCATATATTGTTCATTATTTTTATACTGCACCAATAGCTATTGCCTTGTTATACTTACAACTATGTTACACTGCTATAGTTGTGTATTACTGTCGAATAACTTTACAAGCGAAATCAGCCATATTTTTTCGAGCCCCACAAGGAAATTGAGTGTTGTATAATAAATATTATTAACATATAATGGTTTGACACACAGTTTGATGCCCTCTTTTCTGGTGGCAGAACTTATTTATACATTTATACAACATGTTCCCATCTTATTTAAGGTGCGGCTTAACCCTGTTCCTGAATAAGATGCATCTTATTCAAAATTAAAACATTTTTTAAAACAAATTTTGTATTTTCTGTTCATGCTGTCACTTCACTTGTTATGTAAGATGCGCCTATTTAAGATGCGTCTTATCCCCCCCTCCTTCCGCATAAGTGGCCCTATTCTCTTGACCAATTTTTAACAATTTATACCCGGGGGGTACTCTTCTCAGTTTAGGGTAGGGATGTGCCGCTGAGCCCACTGAACCCTGACCCTGTTCCAGAGTAAGATCGCTGAAATTCATACCCTGTTCCAGAGCAAGATTGCTGAAAATCATACCCTGTTCCGGTATTGCAAAAATGGATACCATGTTTCAGAGAGGAGAGAGCATGATTTCATATACCCTGTTCCAGAGTGAGCGCGATTTTATATACCCTGTTCCAGAGTAGAAACGCTGAAAACCATACCTTGTTTGGCAGCACGTACTCATATAGTGAATATAGGGGAGTACCCCCCCCCCCCCGGGGAATTTATATTACAGTAGCTCAACTAAATGAAAGGTGAAGATGTCTTATAGGGAGTTCCCTGTTAAAGGAATATGGTGGTGAGTACAATTTGGTAGGACTCATTCATGAATGAATTCATGAACAGTTCTGATAAATATCCTTATTTAAGTGTCTAGTCGTTGTACACTTTCGCACTAATTGGGGACACTTTTCACTCACACACACTACCACTACATTCAGTATTTTTTGATCCAGGCATGATGAGCCTGAAAAAGAATGTTCACTTAAGTTAAAAAGAAATGCAAAGATATACAATAAAGGTACACTTCAAATTAAGTAAACAGATCATAAATGAAACACATCTGATCAAAAAAACACAAATGCATCGAGCCAGTCAAGTTCTGTTTTCTTATAAAAAAGGCAGCTCTATTACATGATGTAAAGCTCGTGATTAATGAAACTTCATCCGTATTCCCGTATTCTGAAACTGCGATCCAGACGTATTTTATCAGAGTAAAACACCAGTAACACCCGATCCGCGTACCACATGACACCCATTATGTCAGTTTTATGAAGTACCCTCGAGAGCCAATGAAAACAAGCTCTTACAAATACAATAAAAACCGCTTATTTATACCAAAAAAGCCTCAACTTTAAAGCCTCATAGACTTACCTTGGTATTAATTGTTGCTTAATACTAAACGAGCGTTGAAAAGAGCAATAAAATTGTATAAAAGCCGAGGTGATCGGCCCTAATAACCTAATGATCCGGCAGCCATATTGGATATGCGCCAGTAGTGTTTACAAACAGCGGTTATTCGCTGCCGATCAAAATATGTGATCCACACGTGTTTCAGAGAGAAGGGAAAAGATCGTAAAAATGAGCAAAAAGAGACAAGAAATATGGCAGGTTTGCGAGATCTGTGGTAGACTAGTGTATGTACGACATGTTGAAGATCATAAAACTCTATGTGATGGTCGTGGTATAGAGTTATTAGACAAGTACTGTTTCATTGAAGATGGTGTCTTGTATGGTAGAGTTGTGGACAGACAGGCAAAGCTCATTACCGGTAACAATTATTCAAGCTTTGTTGCTATATGTATTCTATCATTTTCTAAGCAAATAGTATTTATTACAAGGTTATTATTATATTGGGCATTTGTTGACTTTGGGTTACCTGTGTTGTTGTGTGTGTCATGAGAAGGGCTGGGCAGGGAAGCTGCTTTTATTCTAATACCCAGTTAATAAATACAAGTCTGCTTTATTTTCCAATCTAAGACTCTAACCCATTTTGACAGTGCTCTGCAGTCCTTGTATAATATTGTGTAATATTTTATGAAATATTTTCATACTATTCTGGGAAAGTTAGTGTACTCGTAGATGACATGTATTTTCTTTTATTATGATACAGACAGTAAATTCCCATTGCCATCCAGAGATGACATCATCTTACTGAACATTAATACAATGAGAACAGCCAAGATTTGCATTGGTGGAAAAGTCCTTTTGAAATCACAATCAAATTATGTATGTTCACATCTGTTTCTGTATGTAGAGGAGGCATCGCGTTACAGTAATTTGTTACACATTGTTTATACTGTGCCAATTTGCAATTCAAAATTCACCAAATATGTTGTTCATTATTGATATGAGGCATGAACTGGATCTGTGGCAAGGCATGAACTGGATCTGTGGCAAGGCAAGGCAAAGGCAAAGGCAATTTATTGTCACCATGTGCATGGATTGTGTAGTTCCAGAAAACCCCCCCCCCCCCCTCCTCACAGAGGAATTTGGAAATTCCAAGGGGTAGGGGTGTAGGGTCAGAAAAAGAACAAAATTGAATAGTTTGTACGGAAGAAAGTTTGAATTTCTGATGTGTGATAAATAACTAAAACAATGTACCATGCATGTACATGTAATCATATTTGTTTGTTGGTGTATGTTCAGTCCAGCTAATATCCAACCATTTCATATTGTTTAATTTCTTTTTACAGGCTGTCTGTCTTGCTTGGCCATCAAGTTCAATTTCACCTGAATGTAAGTACAACTTGTATCTGTTTATTTTATTGACTATGGGAGGGTGGGACAGGGTGTCAATCAAATTGTTTATCAAATCAAAACAACRCAATCCAAAACAACAGCTGATGTTTGGAAATATCACCTGCCTTGCATTGTTTCATCAATGTGGTTATGAGTTATAGTTTTAAAGTATGGACGTTTTTTTATGATATCTTTTAGGTGTGGCACTTTCTTCTATATGTATCTTAAACTGCAAGGTGAGGAAAAAACCCGGGTTGTATAGTTTTCTTGATTATTTGCACAAGTCAGACAGTTAAGTTGCAAAATATATTCAAACATTTAGCCCCTCGTTTTTTATCTCTGCTGGTGCTGGCCAGCCCATGGTCATGCAAACCGGATTACCAGAACTCTGAGTAAATAAAAGGGCTAGCTTTTCCATATCTTTGTCTCTTTCTCTCCTCCTTTTATTTGCAACACTAMAGTGTCAGATTTAAGCCAATGACAGTTTTACATTATTTTATTTTATAGTTGTCTTCAGGTGATCCCATCCAAGTTAGCAAACTAAATGGAATATGCATGCATGCTTCAAAGGTTGAACTCCAGTTATGGTAAGTCTCTTCAACCATGTATTTGCATGTGTTCATTGCTTCTTTATTAATACAAAATTTGTGTTAATGATAATATTTATCAGGTATTATCAAGAAGCAATGAACACATGCAAATACAGTTAATATATAGTTAATTGGAGTTCATTATTACAAAAACATTAAAAAACGTTTTGATGCAATTCAGCAACCAGGTGGAGTTTGAAGTAAACAAGTCATTCACGAATTACTGCCTACAGCAATTAGGTAAGTAATTATTAAATTCTTATTATTTAATATCTAAATATTATGTTACATAATTGTTAATAAAATAACTAAATATATATTAGTTAAATCATGTGCCCCTCTAACCCTTTATAAAAGAGTTCCAAGCAATAGAATTTAAAGTATAATAAAGTTTTAATGTGGAGCTATATATTGGCTGTCTAGGTAATGAGCCAATGCCCTTACAAATCATTCTGAGTTATAGGAGATTCCCCCCCCTTCCCTTTGATAGAATCTTAAACAAAATCCTATTGTTAGTTCTATATTGTGATATTTTTTTCAGATGGGCATCACATTTCCGAAGATGATTTTTTAGATGTCACATATTATGGTCAAGCAAGAAGGTTAAAGGTTTTAAATGTGTCGGGTCCAAAGAATACTACTTCATTTGTAACACTAAAAAAAGACAAAAGCTTTGGTATTGCGAATATGGAAAATAGAAAAACTGAATCAAACTGTGATGATAAAAGAACTTGTGGAGATGATTCTAGTCAAGAATTGAGTCAGCAACTGCTGTCTTTATCACTTAATGCTGCTACAATTTTGGATGGCAAAAATCAAAAGACTTCAAATGTTGATAACAGTAAACATTGCAAACTTAGCTCTAGTATGGAAACTGATAGTCTAACAGAGCAGAACAGGACCAATGAAAGTACTATACCTCATGATCAGCTCTATTATTATGTGTCATCTGATGAGACATTTTTGACTGTTGTCCCACATGGCACAACAAGAAGCTCTGATAAGACATCTAGGAATAAGCTGACTTTTAGTTCAATTGGTGGGCTTGGTGCACAAGTACAGGCTGTACGAGAGATGGTAGAAATGCCTCTAAAACACCCTGAATTGTTTTCTGCATATGGTGGGTACTTCTTAACATTACCATGTGAATCTGTATCTGTCCAAGATAATATTGTTTCGTAATACTTCTTAAGCATTGAGACAAAACCAGCTGCTGATACAAGTAGTTGAGAATGGGAAGCGTTAAATATAGACTGCGTCACACAGACTTTTTCTCGGACTTAACTGAGAAAAGTGCGGATGTGACGCAGGCTACGTTAAGCATTTAATGATAAAACATTGAATTTGGCTACCTGAGTTCCCATCTTCACTTTAAAAGCTTACAGAAAGGAAGAGTGGGTACTCCCCCCCCCCCCCCCCCCCCCCCAAAAAAAAAAAAGTTTGCAGATATGTTGTGTAATACTTGTGGCTTNTTCACTTTAAAAGCTTACAGAAAGGAAGAGTGGGGGGTCCCCCCCCCCCCCCCCCATGACTAATAATGACAGAGTTTGCAGATATGTTGTGTAATACTTGTGGCTTTTGGATTATTGTCAGGTGTTCCACCTTCTCGTGGTGTCCTGCTGTATGGACCATCAGGTACTGGTAAAACCATGGTTGCACGTGCAGTAGCCAATGAAACAAGGGTGCACTTTATATGTATTAATGGTCCGGATATCTTAAGCAGGTGAGTCATTGATCAACCATAGCTAAACAAGGTACAGTATAGAATACTTTAGATTGTTTAATCGATTCGCGCACTCTTCACTCTCTTTAGAGTAAATGCTTTGTTAATGACGGAGATCATTTAGAGACCTTTAGCATCAGGTTTTCAGCAGAACTGCTAGGGATCACGCCCAGAAACACGCCCGTAAACACGGAGAAAAACACTCAGCATCAATGAAATTCAATATGGTGCCTCTTCCAGCAACAACTTCGTTATGACGCCTTCCTAAATGTCGAACGTTTGACGAAAAACGTCTGACGTTGAACTGCAGTTTGAGGTTTGTGGTACGTAGCAAGAACGTCATGCTAAAGGTTTCTTATCAGCTTTTACACGGGATGAACTGTCAGTAAACATACGCGTGTCGATCGGCTCACAGCTGTTGTTGATTTGACACCCCCATCTTGATCTTCCTTGAGCATTTTTACACCTGTACTTCCGTAAGAAATCTTTATAATCAAATGTATGAAAGCCGTGTTACTCAAGGCGCATTTCAAGAAAAGACAACGGACAAAATTCTACTCTTGCTGTCAATGGCCTTGGGTCACCCATGTATAAGTTGCGAAGCTGGGTTTTGTGAGCTGGCCCAGAACAATATATTTATGTGATTACAGGTACTACGGTGAGTCTGAAGCTCGTTTGAGGGAGATATTCAGCGAAGCAGAAGAACAAGCGCCGAGTATTGTTTTTATCGATGAGATCGATGCGCTGTGTCCACGACGAGACAAAGTGCAGAACGAATTTGAGAAACGAGTTGTTGCTACACTCCTGACGTTGATGGATGGTATGGACAAGGTGAGATACCTCATCTGGATTCAGGATCAAATGTCGCGAAGGGGAGATGAGTAAACCTCTTTACCTTTGGCGTGATGTTTATCCAGTTCAGACCACATGTCATTCCCTAGAGTATCATTTCTTTGTTCAACGATTGCGCACGAGGAAACACATGAATATGGATACGACTCAAACAAAGAATTTTATTCTCAAGGGGATTATAGGTGGTGTGAAATGATAAAACATTACGCCATAGGTAAAAAGGCCTGTTAAGAAGGAACCGCCATTTTCCCATTCTTTGTAGTTTATCAGTGATAAACTGCAATAGTCACGTGTATAAGAAAAAAACTTGAACCCTGTCTAAAACGTTCGTAATTATACTGGTTACACGTCGTTTAAGTTCCTTTCTATTCAACGCACCAACGCAGTCCCAACTATTAACTTTTGGCATTATCCGTTTTTGTAAAAATCAAGTGCAATCCTTTAAATTAAATTTTGGTTTCTGGATAAAAAATTGAGAAAAAAGGAAATTAAAAGTCACTAATGATGACTGAATACAATTAATTGGATAATGAATTGAAGCGGCACCGCCATTTTACGAGTCCCTTTTATCATTGCTAAGGTGTATTTTTTACGTCTTACCCTTTCTATTTTTTATGGCAAGGGCGTAGGTCACGTGATGGTTTTAGCAGCCACGAATCGACCTGACGCACTCGACCCAGCCCTTCGTCGGCCAGGTCGATTCGATAGGGAAATAGAAATAGGAATACCAAATGTAGCCAGCAGACGCGAGATAATTACAACTGTGTTAAGGAATGTACCAAACAGCCTACGAGACGACGAAATTACGAGGTATGTGTCTACGGGTCCTAAACATATTTAACGGGAAGGGAAGGGGCGACTTGAGATTGAGTAAAATCAATGCCTTTGGTCAGTCGGGCGACAGAATTTTTTTCCTTCGAGGACAACAAAAGGATAGTAAGCTAAACTAATGTTTTTCGAATTCCTAAGATCCTGTGTATATAGAACAAAATAAGTAGGTGGAGCGGTAACCCTGTATTACTTATGGAATTGTAATACTACTATAAAAAAACAATCAAAATGAAGTAATTTGGTGCGTGAAGACAATGCATTTTCACCACAATACCATTCCTATTTCCTTTACATCGAAGCTTTGCTGATACCTCGCATGGATACGTCGGAGCAGACTTGGCAGCTGTTTGTAAAGAGGCCGGGCTACTGGCTTTTAAGCGTTGCCTTGGTAACGAAAATCGTGGCAGTTCGCAAAATGAGAAGACCGAAGTTAAAGATGAACGAGTCAAGAATCAGTTACTCGTGACAAGTGAAGACATGAAGCTGGCGTTCAGGCAAGTTCGACCCAGTGCCATGAGAGAAGTAGCTCTTGACATCCCTAAGGTAAGCAAGGATGACAAGAAACATTTGCAACAACCCCCCTCCCCCATACACACACAAACACACACACACACACACACACACACACCCTTCCCCTAATAGGACACTGCCATTGTGGCGTCATGCATTTACCATCATTCTTGTTCAGTTATTTAGCACCAATTGTCTTACTATTCTCATGAGGGAAKACAAATTTGAATAAGAAAGAAATTCGCCAAGCATTTTCGTAGTGGTTCTAAAATGACGCCATCATGCAAACGGCCAATTAACTATAGAGTACCAAGTACAGAGTCGCATGTCACTTTTTTTTCTTCTTTTTGTTGCGTTTCCTTAGGTTCGTTGGAATGACGTTGGAGGAAACAAAATGATCAAGCAGAAACTAAGAGAGGCTGTCGAATGGCCTTTGAAACACCCAGAGGTAAAGAGAGAACTTCTCTGTTGATCTTCCTATAATTTTTTCGCAGATACACTTTGATTGTAAAACTAAATGCACTAGGCCTTATAAGCTGAAGCTGAAAAGGTCCACTAAAATACCAAAGGCATGATCTTGGATCAACTCGCCTCTTTTAGGGTACTTTTGATATGAAGATAATCCTTTCCCCACTCTTGACAGGCGTTCCATCGCATGGGTATACGCCCACCACGTGGTATTCTTATGTACGGGCCCCCTGGCTGCAGCAAGACCCTTATCGCCAGGGCGTTAGCTACTGAGACAGGACTAAACTTTATTGCTATTAAAGGACCTGAGCTGTTCAGTAAATGGGTTGGCGAGTCTGAGAAGGCAATACGAGAGGTAGGTCTTGTCTTTCTGTGCGTACAAATGCCCCCAAATATATGTTTTTWAAAAAATCCTTCAAATTTCATCGATACCATGAAACAACCTCTAGGTTGATCAGCTGAAGCAAGGCCACGGCTAGCTCGCAGATCGAATTAGAATCTAGCGTGTCAAATTTTGGGGGGCGAGGGGGG